GTGCAGATAATTCATTACAGACTTGCTATTTTCTTTTCAATTAATTCATTATTGTTTTGTACTTCATTCTTGGTGCAAGCTAAATTTCAATAAAAAGTAAAGAAGAGAAAAGATGATTTTTTTTCTACAATGATTATCAGGGAGGGTGCTATGGGAAGATAAACAAGTGCATTAGTTTCCCAGAGATGCTGGATATGATCCCATACATGACTGGGACTGATGATACCCCTCCACTTTACATGCTTTACGCAGTCGTTGTCCACTTGGATACACTAAATGCATCCTTTTCTGGGCATTATGTATCCTATGTGAAAGATACACAAGGCAATTGGTTCAGGATTGATGATACCAAGGTAATTTTTTATTCCTCACCTGAGTTTCTCAACCGATCTTTGGATTGGTTTGATTTTAGTAATTTCCTATTGTAAAACAGTAAAAGGAAAGATACAGCAGATACATTAATGGAAGAAGGATAAGGGAAAATTGTTTTACTTGACATTTTGTACTGTTTAACTCATTTGTAAAGCTTAGTTTCGCATAACACACGTCATTGAAATTCACTTCAAAATGACAGGTTCAGCCAGTTCATACGAGCCAAGTTATGAGTGAAGGAGCATATATCTTATTTTACATGCGGTACGTATCATTAAATTAAATAATATTCATATTTTAGAATCAAAGTAAATAAAAGAATAATTGAAACCAAGGGGTAAGTGTAATTTCCTTTCATTTTCAGCCAACAAAGTTTTTTTTTTGCATCAGTTTTTCCTATTATCAACTGATTCAGGGTGGTTAACAATACATGGCATATTGTTATAGGTCATCCCCACGGCCTGATAGAACTTGTACTAATAGCAAGAATACCCGGAATCCAGTCCTTGCCATGTCAAAGCAGTGTTCCTCATCGAAATCTCAGAAACCTTCGCGACCTGAGCATACAAAAGGAAATACAAACCATTACACTTCTGGCAGTGTTTCCAGAAGTGCAAGTAGAAACAGACAGCCATTAACGGGGATGCATTCGGAGAACATGGACCCCGCGACAAGTGACTGGTCCCTTTTCACCAGCTCAGATGAAGCTTCCTTCACGACCGAGAGTACACGTGACTCTTTCAGTACAGTTGACTATGCAGATGGCAGCACCATTGATCCAATGTCTTCTTTCATGAACATGTCAGCTCCGGATTATACCACCTCAAAGAGAACAACAATTGCTTGTAACATGTTCTCCGGAAGTAGGCCCCACACGACTTTCTTTTCGGAAAACAAGGGGTTTGTTGTGGCTGCTAGTTCAAACTATCTCAGTAGTGTACAGGAGGGCAATGATGGTAACGATGATGATGATATGTCTCAGGTTATTAGCAGTCCTCCTCATGAAGCTTTTTTTGTTGATAGGCATGTAAATTATGGGTATGATGATAAGTCTAGATATGATGTAGATCCCCAGACTTATTATCATCATCATGATCAATTATTATAGTATGTAATGTAATTCGGAGTATATTGCAACTTAGCTAGGTAGAAGATGTGTAGTGGAGTAGAAGCTAACTGTGCCTCAAGTTTTGATTTTTGTTTTTTCAGTATTTCATTGTGAGGCACATTCCGGCTTTTGGATTAACCTTAACTCTTGTTCCTGACATTGTTGCAATAATAAGAAGTTTTAATTTCTGCATGCGCTTATTTGTTTCCAGATATTAGCTGTTGTTCGGTAATTCGGTATAATGAATATGTAACCACAAGTAAACAAAATTAAAAAGCCAACTACTATGCCGTGCATTGTTGCTCCCGATGATTTGCTCGAGGTAGTAGTTTTTGCTTCTTTTATGAAACAATGGCCTGTAAAAATAGTAAAAATAAAGCGACTTATAATTATTGATATGCTCGACTCGTTTATTACTTAGGATGTTTTTTTTGAGTGAAATTTGCTGGTCTGGTCTGGTCTGGTAAACGTCTGGTCTCTGTGTATTTTATAACTACGGAAGTCAAGTCTGGTCTGGTCTGATCTGATCTGGTCTGGTCTGGGACTGAAAACAGTCCAAAAGAAAACATCCTTACTTTGTAAGAATGCATTTATGCATCATAAACTAAGGGGGGGAAATTAGCCTATCTCAATAAAGTTTATGATTGGTTCGAAGAACGTTTGGAGATTCAGGCGATTGCAGATGATATAACTAGTAAATATGTTTCTTCACATGTCAATATTTTTTATTGTTTAGGAGGAATTACGCTTACGTGTTTTTTTAGTACAAGTAGCTACCGGGTTTGCTATGACTTTTTACTATCGTCCGACCCTTACAGAGGCGTTTGCTTCTGTTCAATACATAATGACTGAAGCGAACTTTGCTTGGTTAATCCGATCGGTTCATCGATGGTCAGCAAGTATGACGGTTTTGAAAATAATAGGAGTAGTAGGAGTACATCCTACTAAAGAATAACTTTTGATTAAAAACAGAATCATATTTTTCATCTTTGTTCTATTCTTGTCATTCTTTCATAAATTAATCTCGTTTAATTTTATCCAAATGTATGTAGGGACAATATGAACTATATATATACACATAGTTAAGGATTTTGGAGCTAGCTAGGGAAGCTAACTTACAATGAGATTGTTTCCACCCCAATATAGACTCTTCACGATCATAGACAATGTGATAGCCCATCATGAAATTCTCTGCAAAAAGGTTGACAAGAGTTTTTTTTTTTTTTTTTTTTTTTTTTTTTTTTTTTTTTTTTGAGAGAGAGAGAGGGGCAGAGAGCATGAGTTTGTTGAGAAGCATGAATAAAAGGATTGAAGTGCAATGGATTTAAAGATGTTATAAGCTAATTTTTCAAACATTAATTCCAAAACAAGATTAAACACGAAATACAATAACTAGCTACCACTAGTATTATGAAAGTAATATCAAAATAATTGAGAATATATATTGAAATAACGGGTAATAATAGGGCGGTTTTGGGGCAAACATTTAATCAACGGGGCGGTCTCCATTTTATGTCCATCACTAGTTGGACATGCAATATCCGGATCACTTTTATTCTTCCTTCCGACAATTCACAATGCATCATGCATCCCTGCTACATGGTAGCATGGGCGATTAGACACATATCAAGCACATATCAAGAAGTTGGACTTGATTAAAAGTGTTTCTGAATTATAGGGCCTTAGTATAAATATGAATTTTATGGTTATTTTAATAACCTTCTGTAAATAGGAAGTATATATAGATACTATATAGCTATATTTGTCTCTATCATAATGCATTCTTCTCAATACTCAAAATACTAAAGCATTCCCCGATCTATTTTCTCCAGTTTCAAGTTCTATAGAAATTCATTATATTTATGATATTCTTCAATGACTTTCTTGATAATTATTGAATCTCAATAACATAGGAAGACAATTCAAATCTACGGATCTTAAGATCATAAAACACATTTCTTTGATGATCATTCTCAATTAAACCTTCAAGTAGAAAATAATATCCCCAAACAACCAATCGATTTAATAGGGCCGGCTTTTAACTTGTGAATTAGGTTAAATAGAACCGGGCCCCATTTAAAATGTGAGCCCCGTATTTTTGAAGCATTAGTATTAGTATTATTTCTAGGCCAATAATATTCAATTTAAATTTCTTTCGTTTTTAAATAAGTGCCACAGTCTGCTTTTCACGTTTGTCTAACTTTTAGGCGCAATATGTGTCTTTCTACGTTTTTTTAATGAGATGCGAAATTCTTTCACATAATTGATCGTATCTCATAACTCACCTTCCACATGTTACATGTTGATCATTAATCTGCGTGCTAAATGTGTTTTAATGATGTTTGTTTCATTTAAAGTTTTCAGATTATCTTTAAATAAAAATATAACATCTTTTTTTTTTGTCATTTTCTTCATAATTTGCTCCGAATTTCGACAACTTCAACGAAATAGGTTCAAGCCTATTAAAAAGGACGAGTCCAGCAGACAACATTATACTTAAACTTCGGACAAAATTAAAGTAGTTGAAAATGCATGCCAAGATCACAAATAGAGAAAATTTCAGTTACTAAGCTAAAAAACATTCAGCACGACAAATTGGCAAGTCACGGGCTATGTAATGAGGTAGTTCAGTTTAATTATGGTGATGGTGATAGTTTAAAAACTCAAATTGGGATGTTTTCTTTTGACTATTTTCAATCCCAGACCAGACCAAACCAGACTTAAACAGACCAGACCAAACAAGACCAGACCAGACTTCCGTAGTTATAAAATACACAGAGACCAGACGTTTACCAGACCAGACCAATTCAGACCAGACCAGACTTAAACAGACCAGACCATGCCAGCAAATTTCAGTCCAAAAGAAAACATCCTAGCTCTCTTTCCCCATAAAATTCATTTCACTTATTAATTTGAAATGACTCAAAAATTGTTTTTATTTACCTTTTTGGATCGCTGACTAAGGATCTTTTGGATTGTTTTCAGTTCCAAATCAGATTGATCAGACCTGACAAGATTAGATCAGACCAGACCAAACTAGCGTAGTTATAAAATACACAGAGACCAGAAGTTTACCAGATCAGACCAGACCAAACCATATCAGACCAAACCAGCAAATTTTAGTTCAAAAGAAAACATCCTAACATTGATTTATTTTTTCCTACTAAAGCACCATCATACTTTCCATTTTATTTCTATTTTCATAAACTCCGATTCAAGTGAATCATGAAAATTTATGGAACGGGGGAGTAATAAATTTGATTGATCAAATTCATTTCTTATCATATACTCCCCCCGTCCCCTTTTAAATGTTCCGTTTTACCATATTGGGATGTCCCTATTTAATTGCCCCATACCTTATTTGGTAAATTTTGTGTGGCTCAAAATCATTCTTACTTTATTCTTACTTTATCAATTAATATCAACCACACAAACTCACTTTTCTTAAAATTCGTGCCATCATCTCCCGTCCCATTTAAAAGGGGACGGAGGGAGTACTATTTATATTCATATCTAAATGATTTAATTGCGGTATTATAATAATTGCTTCATAGTGAAAATAGTACAAGGTATATGTACCTTAATGTACCTTACAATCTCCCTTTACTTATTTCTGTACACATCAAAACTTTAGCACTTTCTAGGAAAAATATGCTTCTATCGTACTAGTTAGGGGTATTAAATTATTACTACGGTACAAAATAAATGTAACCACAAGAAAACAAAAGTAAAAATCCCACTACTATGCTCCGCATTGTTGCTCCCGATGCTTTGCTCGAGGGAGTAGTTTTTGCTTCTTTTATTATACCTGAGAATAGAAAAAAATAAAACGACTTATAATGATTGATGTGCTCGACTCGTTTATTTGTAAGAATGCATTTATTATGCATCATAAACTAAAGGGTTTTGAAAAAAATAATACTAAAAAGAACGATTTAGAATAGAATCAGATTTTCTGGATACGCCACTGTTTATAAATGTAGCTTGGGAAAATAGTATGAACTATAGTTAAGGATTTTGGAGCTAGAAAAGCAAACTTACAATCAGATTGTTTCCACCCCAAAATTGACTCTTCACGATCATAGACAATGTCATAGCCCATCATGAAATTCTCTGGGAAAATGTGGCATGAGTTTGATAAGAAATATGAATAAAAGAATTGAAGTGCAATAGATTTAAAGATGTTAAGCTAATTTAGCAAATATTATTTCCAAAACAAGATTAAGCACGAAATAAAATAACGAGGTACCACCACTATTATGACTTACGTAGCATGATTTAATAAGTAAGATCAAAATAAGTGAAAATAGATATTGATGAAATCGGTTAATTATTGTGGAATAAAGGCTTCAATTTACAAGTTATGGGCAGACAAAAAAAAAGCTAGCTCATGAAAGAAAAGTTAATATATACTTACGCCCAATGATGTTGATATCAATATTCTCATTTTTAAGAATACCTAAACAGTAAACTGGTCCATCCAACCCCTGATGAGAAATAACAAAAAGTTATTTTCATTTATAAATAATACTCCCTCCGGTTTTTAATAAACTTCACACTTTTCTTTTTGGGACGGTCTAAAATAAACTTCACACTTCTTTATTTCCTTTTTTGCCAAAGAAATCTACATCAAAACAGTGCCAAACAGTGTCTCTACAGTGCCAAACAGTGTCTCTACAGTGCCAAACAGTGGCAAACAGTGCCTCAACAGTGTAATCTACAGTAAAGTCAAATTTCTTTCCTTATTTTGTGTGAAGTCAAAGTGTGAAAATTAAATAAAACCGGAGGTAGTAGCTATTAAAGAAAAATTAAATGTGTGAATAAGCTTAGCTGCGAATTACCGGAAAAATGGTAATAAAAGTGGGGGTAAGAACATCAAAATCAGCTCCTCCTTTCATCCTTAAAGTCAAAGAAGGTGTTCGATGTGTCGTGTGATTGGTTCTGCGTCCAAAAAAATGAAAATGAGCAAACGTACTCAAATAGAAAGACCGAGTACATTTTTAGATTCTAGGATTAAGAGTTAGAGTTTAGCTAGGGTTAAGAGTTTACTACGTAGTACTCCCTCCGTCCCCCTAAGTTTGGGACGGAGGGGTGTGGTAGGTGTAGTTTTTAAGAAAAAGTGGAATTGTGTGGTTGGTATTGAATTGATAAAGTGTAAATAAAGTAAAAATGAATTCTAACCACTCAAATGTTACCAAATATGGTATGAGACAAACTTAGTGGGACGGACATCTACAGGTAAAACGGGACAAACTTAAGGGGACGGAGGGAGTATTAGTTTGTCTATTCAAGTCTAGCTAGTTCAATTAAAAAGATCATCTGATTAACCAATGGTAGAGGCTGAGGTCAAATATAGCAGTGTAGTTGTTTTGCAGAGGTGGAAGTTTTAATTTCCTATTATAGGACATGTTTATCCTTGGAGTACTTCAAATAAGATAGTCAAATAAGAGGACAGAATTCCAGACGGCTTAGACAAACGTAACGTACTTATACCTTGGAGTATAGCAATACTGAAATGGATATGCATCAGTGGGAGGGATGCGTGAATAGAGAATTAAACTGGAAATAATGGCACATTAAATTTTGTAGTATTTATAAACAAATTTTATTTAAACAGAAAAGGAAATTAAATGAAATTAGAAATAAGATCGAGCTGAGATGCAGTCTAATAACTCACATTTTCTGCTATAAAGAAAAAAGCTTGTTCATTTAACCGTGTAAAAGAAGTGCCCGAATCAACTAGCGCCACGAACGCAACGTTGCTTACAATGTCATCAACACATATTTTCTCTATCTGTATGTTGTAATCCTCGCTGCATGCATTATGTTTGAGCAAGAAAATTAAGAAACGAAACTATTTTTTTGAGAAAAAAATGACATTTTATATTTCTATTGGAGTTTTCCCGACTAATTACATTTTTGGACAAAAATATAACTAGTCACAAAAGTGGGCAAAAATCACTATAGTGTATTTCAGAGTATCAAATCACTATGAACTAGTCACTAATATGTCACTTTTTTGGAAAATTTTAAAATATGTCGCTTTTTTGTCTTTTATTTGAATTTAATTGAGTAATATTCATGGAAAGACCCTTTTTAATTGAGAAAATTCTTTAAATGGAACCAAACATACGCAAAGCGCGCAAATAAGACTGATATGTTTTTTTTTCTAGAATTGAATAGGACTCATCCACTCTTAATTGAATAAATTTATACTTTTAATAGCACCAAATTATTAGTTCTATTTTCGAAATGAATATAATTACTTTTGTTTGTACACCTTGTATAATTTCAGTCAAATGAGCTACGGAGTACTCCGTATTTTTAATGTGATTTGCTTTTCCTTTTGGACTGCACGAGTTAAATGTCTTGTTTTCGTTTTTAGTAATTAAGAGATTAAGAGATGTATGGTTCACTTACTCATCCGGGTCTAGTGGTGTTCTCATATGGGCACTGCTGCCCTTGTCTCCAAATGCAAGCCTGCCTTTGCCATCAAGGCCAAAGCATAAGGAGAAGGAGTTTGGGACCAGCCCTTGGGATGCTAGCATGCCAGGTAAGTCCAAAGGCGTATTAAAGCCCAGCCCTAGCAAACCATTGATTGTGCCATCCTCCAAATTAGCACCAGTCTCAATCATTCCACACCTAAATTATAACATACCATATAATTAATATTCATACTGTATTAGGAGTATTCAATTGAAATGTTAATATGTACTACCTCTGTCTCATAATGGTTTTCAAATTTCAATTTGACACGATTATTAATCAAGTGGTTGAAAATTAAAGTGGTGATTGAAATTTGAATAGAATAAAATGAAACGATAAGGAGTAAGGACCACGTATTTTTTGTCAAAAAAGAAAACATAACATTCATTTTAGGACAATCCAAAAAGAAAAGTAGGATAATCAAAATGGGATAGGGAATGCATTGCATATATACACACACACTCACCGGAATATAATTGGCGCTTTACAAGGCCGGCGTTTCTGGTCATATGTTTCTAAGTGCAAGATATCCTTAACAAGGATGCCCTTACTCGAAGTGTTATATGTCATATAGTCGACTTGGTAAGGGCATGCGGCTACCGCCTTGCCGCCGGACTTATGCATCAGGTGGCATTGCTTCTGCTTTGGCCAACATTCAGGGCTCCGACATGGTATAATTGTACTCGTGGATGAAGACTTTGGGTTGTAGGAATTGAGAAATCTTATCTGTTTCATTTGATCATATGTCCGGGTAAAACAAGATACAAATACTATAGATTATTATAAGAATTTAATGAAATATTGAAATGTCGAACTAGAAGTAAAACATACTCAAAGTTTCAAAACCGCGAAGTATTCCGTATGAGTCATTGTTAAAATTCCATAAATAGAACTATAGAAGTACGTAATATATATATAATATGTGAGCTGGCCTGATTATGCTGGAAGAACTAGCTAGAGATTAATTAATTATATCTAGGATAGAAAAGTACTCCGATCCTATATAATGTTGGGAAATTTATCGGGATATGACTAAAACTCAATGAGTTTCTCAATATATGACCTAACTAGTTTTTATACATTTGTATGACCAAAAATCCAAAAACAAATAGAAAATTCGTTTATATTTAAATGTTGAATGACGAAAATACCCTTATTTAAAATATGTGCATTTTGCACTAATTTCGTCCAATTAAAATTATTGCACTTTATATTACTGTTAATGCACAAAATTAATGCACGTCTTTACTGCAGATCCGGTAATAATCACTGCACTTCCGCAAAAATAATTCTCTTCCCATTCACTTGAGGAATTTGTTTTTTTTTTGTTTTTTTTTGTTTTATTAGATTTAATAATTTTATTATTTTACTCCTCATTACGTATATTGTGTTTCATGGTGAAATTACTGTTATGTTTTACTGCACTATCGGTCATAATCACTGCACAATATAATAAACTTCATTAATGCATTCATTTACTGACATGTACAACATATATATTGTCATATTCACGATCATGTTCGGCAGACAGCGGGCCATGGGGCGACGGCGGCAGATGGCGGCAGATGGCGGGCATGGGGCAGCGGCGGCAAATGGAGGGCATGGGGCGGCGGCGGCAATGGCGTGTGGCTGCAGGTGGGTGGACCTATGGAGGTGGGAGAATGGAGGCTAGGGTTGAAAAAAAAGAGTAGGAACTTGGGGTTTTATAGATATGACTTAAAGGGTATATTTGTCCACTTAAATTATTTATTTATTTATTTATTCCGAATTTTAATTAATTATTATGAATTTTAATATTATTTTGGTATAAAAACTAGTTAGGTCATAGATTGAGAAAGTGAAGAAGTTTTAGTCATACCTAGGGTAATTATCTCTATAATGTTTAGTCATCATATTTAGAAAACATTAAACACGGACTCCTATTTAGGAATTAGGAACTTTAACCATGTTTTACAGCTATAATGATTGATTGATCTGATTTCCGTGTGTTCTTGTTTCAATGTGAGAGTAAATTATTGGTAGTAATCCATATTATTTTTATTTTGAAAGGGTACTCTCATATTGTTTTCATGTAGATACGTAATATATACGGACTATATTACTCTATTCGTCCCGCTAAAACAGTCTTGTACCACATTTAATTTGGTAAACTTTTTGTAGTTTGAAATCACTCTGACTTTACTTTGTCCAATTCAATACTACATTTGTCCCAAAAAGGTTCGTCATAGTGACTTTTCTTGACCAATGATAACAAAAGTTGAACAATGATTTTAATTAGTATACTAGTATTTGAGTATAATATATAAATTTTACACTTTTATAAAAATACTTTGAATAATGAACATTTTGGGATGATTTTCATATTCAAAATAATTTCGTATTAAAAAATACTCCATCCATCCCAAAATGATTTGCAAGGTTAACATTTTTTTGTCGACCATTATTAAAGTTAAATATTCCTAATTAAGTGAATACGGAGTACAATAAAATTGTTTGACAAAAAAATTCAATAATTTTTCAAATCAATTTGGGACAGAGGTAGTATCATGAGTCAAAGTTGATTGTCATTAACAAAAAATATCAATTTGACGAACATTTTCAGCAGAGGGAGGGTGTAGGAGAGAGGTAGTACGTAGTAAGGAAGCATGATTCTTTAGTAGAAAAAAACATCACATGCAATGGAAAAACATGTGTGGTTTTACGTGCTCCTATTTATGGGTTTGTGTTCTTACTAGCTAATTAGCCGCACAAATAAGAGGGAGACTGAATATAGTACGTAAAATTTACACTTACTTCTCCCGTGTCTGTTTCAAAGAGGTGTGCACAGTTCTTGCAAAGGCATGGCAACCAGGATATGTCACTCCCTGTGTCAAGGGCGACAATAAATGGCATCCCAGGAGTCCCAATACGTATTTCAGCATAATGCAAGCTGAAATATAAAGACACAAAATACGTAATACAAGTATAATTTATGGTAGAAACTGTTTCTTGCATTGGGCATGCATGCACGGCAGACACACTGCGTATGCGTTTAATACATGTATAGTAAGTATAAAGGTATAATAATGCATGAAAATGATCGGACTTACTTTCCCAAGCTTTGTATCTGACTATTGACATCGCCCCCACCAAATGTGAGTGCCTTAGAGTGGCGGCGGCGGCGGTGTTGGTCACGAGCTGTCAAGGCGGCATAGTACTCCGCCGTACCATGTTTGGGCAATCCCTTGCCGCCTAACACACCGGTAACCTCATCAGAGTGCCGGTGATAAATATTGTAGCTAGGTAAATGTTTAAGCAAAATATTGATAAGCTAAAACTAATTAAAAAGGAATTCGTATAAAGAAAGGGCTTCGAACAAGAATAGAGAAGGAGATGACAAGAGAGTGAACAAGAAGAAAAACTTGAATATTATTCGAATGTTTCTGCTGCCTTGATTACAATGAGGCTATTCTATTTATAGGAAAAGCAATTAAAGCTCTAATGATGGTTTTTTCCGTTATTGACGGATTGGCCATCCGTTACGTACTGACGGATTCAAATCCGTCATAAAGGCTGGTCAAACACATTTAATACCCTCCTTAATCACATTAAGGAGCCTAATAATGTACAAAAAACGTTACAATATTTAAAAATGATATTCTTGACGCTTCAGTGACTCAATTTGTCTGTTTTGATGGTTTGACGTAACGGTTCTGACCCGTCGTCGGTTTCGCAACTCGTCATCAATGCTGGCCAGCTCAAAATAAGTAACCTCCAACCTTAATATCGTTGATAACTCCAGTAATAAGCACAAATCCGTTACAACAGCCATCATTAAGCCTCTTTAACTTTTGTGATCAACTCTCTTTAATGCAAAATATATTGCCAAATAATTGCACTAACAGTAAAGGTATTGATGATGAGCGGCTGGGAGAAGAACAAGAAATTAACTGCACAAATACTAGTTCTATCAAAGTCAAGAGAAAGAAGATAAATGTACAAGTCTGGTTTGCCATGATAACTATTGATAAGATATGCTGATGAATCATATATGATGATTGCTCAACTCGGATAGTTTATATGGACTTTTGAAAGAAAGGTAAGAAGAAGGTACTCTTACATTGAATTAGCCTAATGGGTGAACTGGGGATGCAATACCAGAAGCCTAGGAGGGGTAGGTAAAGCAATAATAGAAGCTGCGGGCATTCTCAAAATAGGAGTGCATATATGAGAAATTAAACTTGTAACTTATTTCATGAAAAAAAAATTGCAGGGAAAGGGTGGAAATGTAGTAGTGATGGGACTAAAAGAAATCTTATACGAAGTATATAGTTAATCCCATTTTAGACATTTTAAATTAATAGGCCTTACTCATATTTTGAGCAATTTTTGTATTCCTAGCAATATTCTTTTTAGGGATAAGGGTCAGATAGGGCTTCGAACTTGAAAAAAAAATGTCAAATAAGGCCATATTTAGGATGCTATGTCCGGCCGACGCCATTTGGGGCGGTTCCTGATGGAATTTTTTGATGAATTTTTTTGAGAATCTTATTCATTAAGTCTAGTTTACTCATATCAAATTTGAACTAAAACTTCAATCGGGAAGGCATTCAAATGAATTTTTGAAAATAACTGTGCAGTTAAAAGCGCAGTTATCTTCAAGAATTCATTTGAATGCCTTCCCGATTGAATTGTTAGTTCAAATTTGATATGAGTAAACTACACTTAATGAATAAGATTCTCAAAAAAATTCATCAAAAAATTCCACCGGGAACCGCCCCAAATGGCGTCAACCGAACATAGCATCCTAAATATGGCCTTATTTGACATTTTTTTCCAAGTTCGAGACCCTATCTGACCCTTATCCCTTCTTTTTATAATTAAATGCATGCACCAATGCAACATGGCACATAACCGTAGTAAAAAAGACCGTTCAGATATAATCATAACATCAAACATTCTTTATTAGTCAAAATTTTAAAAGAAAACATTAATAAAAGAAGTAGAAATAATTATATATTTATGACTAAAATAAAGATCATATACAAAACTGTGATCAGTGACTAGAGTAATAATGAATTATAGTAACTTATGTTCATTTTTATAGTTAAGTTATCATGACATTATATTGTAGTAACTAATAGTCATATTTGTGTAAATAGGTTTTATTTTGGTAATATTTTTTAAAATTGTGGGAAAAAACCCCATAAAAGTAAAGTAACAACTAATTCTTCAAATTTAATTAGAAGTAAATTTCAAAATTCTAACTACATGAGTAATCTCTACTGCGTTTAGGTGACCTGCGTTTTTATTGCAAACTTATTAAAAACAGATCTATTTTTTATATTATAGTTAAAAGTGCATAGGAATCGTCAAATCACCCATTTCTAATTGATTTTCTTACAACGAAACTATGAAATAATGTACTCCGTATTTATTTTTACTTAAAATGAAAGGACATGATACAACTATGAAATGGTGTACCTCGTATTTATTTTTAGTTAAAATAAAAGGACATGATTGAAAAGCTTATTTTCGTGTAATTTGACAATTTAACTTTGTAAAAGAGGTAGATGGTCCAACTCTCAAACTGTTTTTTTTTGTGTGACAAACTCTCAAACTGTTTATTATATACGTAATACTCCCTCCGTCCCAAATTGATTTGCAAATTTGACTTTTCTTGGTCAAACAGTTTCATTTTATTCGCTTAATCAGGATGCCAATTTTTAATTATATTCTAATTTGGAGTTTGCAACTTCGAAGAGATTTCAATGTAGTTTCTGAATATGTAAATTTTAATTACTAAAAATTGAATTAAGTATTGATTGAGAGGATTGACTTTTATTATTGGTTGACCAAAAAATGTTGACTTTGCAAAACAATTTGGGACGGAGGTAGTATATAGTTCACACAATTAGATGAGGACATAGATACTAC